TGCTGTTGTTGTTGCTGATGCATCATCATTCCACCACTGGATGTTGGTGGTGCAGGAGGTGGTGGCATTCCGCCGCCGAACTGCTGTTGAGCTCCCATCGGTGGTAGTCCAGTGGCTCCCATCTGAGGTGGAGCACCACCCAGGCCACCGAACTGATGAGGTTGAGATGATGGTATTTGGGGTGGTTGTTGGGCTTGTTGGCCCTGCGACTGAGCTTGAGGAGGCATCATCATGGGCGCTTGTTGACTTGTTGGAACACTCGGAATAGCTGCCGAGAGAGGTGCAAATTGAGGAGCTGATGAGACAGTTGTCGGCGGGACGGTGGCTTGAGGTGGTGGTGTCATTTGATGCTGCTGTTGCTGTTGCGGCTGACCAAACGAACCCGAATTGCTGCCCGACATCATCATCATCGGCACAGGTGGTGGAGCGATTGGTTGAGGCTGAGGTTGGCCACAAGGTGGTGCACCCATTCCAGCTCCGGCTCCGGCTAGGGCTCCAGTCTGAGCCTGAACTTCAGCAGGAGCATTGTTCATCGGCGTTGAAGGCGGCTCACTTCCACCTGAACAATAATAATCAAATGACTGAATGAACATTGCATGAGTCAATCTCAATCAATCTTGAGGATATGATTCAATAATGAAAAGCACACAGACATTCAGGAAAGTTCACATTTATATAATAACAACGATAATAGTGAATAACCGTAGTAAGTGGAAAACGGTGGGTAAGATTGACCGTTTGGAGCACTTGGTGGATGATGTTGTACTGAAGTTGAGGTGATATCAACCTCAGACGAGACTTCTGAAGATGGTAAGTTATTGGTCATTGTTGTGATTGTATCGTCACTTATTGTATTATTGTATTCATGAGTTTGTTCCACTTCATTTTGCTGCTGCTGATGCTGTTGCTGTTGTTGTTGTAAATTGTCGATGAACTTCGGCGCTGGTGGAATATTCGGAGGATGTATACAAGTTGTTTCGAGGCTCGGTGGTGCGGCACACGGCGCTGGTGGATGACCACTCACACCGATTATACCGTTATTCACCTGAAGTTATTGCAGCGGTGATGGCAATCCAGAAACCGGAACTAAATGATTTAGATGAGTGCGATCTGACCTGTTCGTGAACAGATGGCTGTATGGTGGCAACAGATTCACTGAGAATATTCGGAGGCGTATCGGAACGACAGTTGATCACACTCAACCCAGAGTGCTGGTCACCTTTTCCGGCACCGATCGCTTCCACTATATCCATCAAAGCCGTTGTTCTGTCACGGATCCATCCGAGTTCGGATCGTATCCTTGAACGTTTCTCATTTTATTTCAAAACGCAACATTCATTTCACATTTATATCTGTTTGCAATTAGTGGATGAATACACATATATAATCCAATAAAACAGACTTGCTTAAAGAAGACATCTCAGCACCATCAATTAAAACGACCACTGATAATAAGGGTTCAGTTTGTAACGCCAACAACAAGTCGTGATCGTCGGCCATTGTAATCAAATCACCTTCTGGAAAACATTCGTAATTTGAACTCTTCAATAAGGAGAATTTCAGATGTATCTTTTGGAAGGGGGGGGGGTCTTTTGAATGCGTTCGTGGAGAAATTTTTGAGGTTTTAATCGATATGATAATTATACCTTGATCTTTATATTTGAGTATGATATTGTCGGCGGATTTAATTTTAAAAATCCGTTGCATCATCATCACCAAATCATTGTAAGACAGGTCATCGTTATGACGAAGTGTCATCTTGCGGATGTCGGTGCCGAACCTTGCTTTCACCATTGTTGCCTCCACTTCACCGCCGTTATGAACCATTTTTGATTTAACTCCTCCTTATTCACTTATTTATTTATTTATCTAATCAATAAACTCGATTCACTTCGATATCAAATGGACTGCGTCTACGTGTCACAATTGATTTCAACAATATCTGAAACGTTAAAAATACTTTTTAAGAGGAAACAACTACACCTCCATATGGTACCATTCGAGCCATATGGAACAATACAGCAAAATAAAAGTTGCTGCAAGCGGAAGGAATATGAAGGCAAACTCAGGAACTAAAAGAAAAACACGCTGAAAACCAAAAGCGCTGACACTGCACATTGGAATCTGCGGCAATTCCATGTCAGTGTAGTGAACAGAGCAATGGAAATTCCATTGCTCAGTTCACTTCAGAGCAATGGAAAATGCATTGCAATTGCATTAAATTGTATAACAGATGTACACATTTATGATATAGTTACGCACGAAAATTCATACTTTAGAGCTCGCAATTTAAGAGAGTTCGTCTTGATTCGTATACAATTCTTCCACGTCTAATCAACAGAATGTCACTGCGAAAGTTTTACTTTGAATAGTGAATGTAATGCCATGCACTAACGAAGACACAACAAGATATTCACAATGGGCACTTGCACTTGATATTGAAGATATTCTATTGGAACGCTCGATTTAGGTCATTTGTGTATTGTACAAAGAAACAGTGAATTGAAGTGAAGTGTTAAATGACAACATTTCATGTGATACTTCATGCAAAGCGAGTCCAATGACCAAACAAGTGTAATTTCAATCGAATACCGACGGATCGAGCTTTGCGAACGAATTTAATGTGGCTCACTCAGTTGCCTGCCGTCGATAATCAGTTAGCTACGCTACTGATAACCTGAAAACCTGCAGTGAACTGCCCGGGACAATGAATTTAATGGGCAATGACGACGACGATTCGGACAATAGGAACAGCGTTAATAATGGTGCTGTCATGATTATGGTTAGTATGCAAATTTGGACAAAATTTTGTGATGTTTACAGAAGAAGGAGATATGAAAAGTGATAAATGTACAATGATTATGCTAAATTTCGTCCACCTCAGTTAATGAGCATTTGAGCGATTTTTTAAGAAGTCGTTACAGAAGAAGGATTTGCTGCTCATTGTGAGACGACATACAAAGCGATTGTGGTGGTGCGTGCTTAAGAAGGCGATCGATCGCTCGCGAAAGAATTTGAATTTGGTCAATGCTTTTTGATCGATCGAATAAACGAATCAACAACAATTGCTCTCTTGAGGTGATTGATGATCGCTTTAATTGTGTGTTTGTTCCAAATGAATAATCTTCATCTTGAAATGCGATAAAAATAAGAAAGTAGATGATAAAGATAATGCAAACGAAGAGGTGAGCAAGGCAAGTACCACACCACAAGAGTATCGTCTCATTGTGGTACTATCGTTCTCTCTAATCTGTTCACAGCCAATGCGTTATTACAGTTGTGACCTACTACAAACACCCACCACTACTGTGTTATCTGTGTTTATGAAACGACGAACACATCGGCAGCACTCTCTCTCCGTACAACTATTATACCTATATAACGGGCAAATGTGAGAATAATAGTAATAATAATAATAACAATAATAATAAGAAGAATAACATTCTAAGGCCCCCTCTTCGCTCTCTCTCTCCTTCTCGTCGGCTTCATATCAGCTTTTCATAAGAAAAACAAAACTCAGAGAAGAAGACGAATAGGAAGTTCGAAAGAGAAACTCACGCGAACGGCAAAGAATTAAACGCAGAAAGAGAAAGAAATAACATTGAACCCGTTCTCATCGCTTCTGCTGTTGATTACCACTTGCAAAATCAGAACCTGCATTCAATCGCAAGTACCATTGTTTATTCTGTCATTTTTCTCAGTCAGTCGTCGTCACTTTTGGTTATGCGGAATTTTTTTCTTTGAATTCATTTCATGTTCAATTGGAATTGTTAGTGTTATCGATGAGAATTTGATATTTCGGATGGTTTATGCTTCGTCATTTTTTGTTGGCACTGGTCTTGATAAGAAATTTCGATACAATTCCAGAGAAAGCATCAAAGAAGAAGATCGGCCAGAGTAAATTAGCCAATATGGGTCACCCTTTCAAAAGGCGCCAATTTGAAATGAAATTTCTCATATTTTGCAACGTCAACTGAAATTTTTTCGCATCCATCGAATTCATGCGAAAAAGAAAAGGCTTGAAGAATTACTTGGAGATGGAAAGGGAAGCCATATCGTAATAGGAGGGAACAGCTTGTAGGTTTGATGGAAAGTAAAGATTTCGACCTTTGCTCTGAGAATGGAATTGACTATTAAATGATACATAGATAGACACATACGAAAGTGTCAAAAAATGAACACCTTAAGAAACTGAAGTGACATTTTTCAAGTAAAAATAATTTTGATACGGAGAATGCAATGAGAACTGAGACGGTTGTGGTGTATTGAAGGAGGTGTGTAAGTTATAATATTAAAATAGATTTGTATAAATGTGGTGTAATAATAAATGTGGTACACCACCACCGGCGTGCATCATCATTTCAGTCAGAGCTACTTTTATACATGTTAGAAGGTATGTGCGCATAGAAAGAACCCCATCCTTCTTTTGAGTCGAATTCCGTTCATAACTTCCATTGTATTATCTTGTTTTTTGGTTTGCGATCGTTCGGTGTTTGAATGAATAAAGTATTGTTCAATTGGAACCATCGTAGACGCATTTCCATACGAATATTGTTATGACTATTAGAGTGACCTAATCTGCACGCTTAGTGTTATTTAGTACCCTTCGGGGTCTATCTCTCGTATCATAAATAAACTTGATATCAGATCCTCTCATCTCGCCAAGTGATCCCTTTATCTGCCTCTCTCTAAATCTCCTGCAATAGAACAATCGGTGAAATCGCTCTCATTCTTTCCCCCTCATCCATTGCGTATGTCCAGTTAAATGACCTCTGTGTTTGATGGGAACAGATAAACCATCATCTCATCGGACAGATTTGAATAGAGTAGCGCAGACCTTTTGCTCTGCTCGCGTTGTAGCAACAGCAGCAATATAATTTATTCTTTGCTTTTAAATTAT